CTCATTTCAATCCTCCCCCATCAAATTTCCATGACAAATGCCTCTATGGTCCTACAGATTGTGATTTCATTACCTTACAGAGGACTGAGCACAGCAGAGGGGAGCAGAAGTGTACACTGTCCCTTTTCCGAGCACTTCCTATTTGCTTTTTCAGCAGGGGTTTCTCCCTTGCATGAGTGGGTCTGCTGCCTGCGAAGGGTCGGGAAAGTCTGTGTCTTTTTTTTTTTCTTGGTCATACAGAATGCTGGCCTTGCGTTTCAGGTGCCGTTTGTTTTAAAGGTGATGAATATTTACAGCCTTGCTGGAAGGAGGGAATGTGGATTTCTCTTTCCAGTCTCAGGAGACCACCTGTAGTAATGATTGCTGCCTAATGTTTGATTCTCTGTGTAAGTCCAAATTCACATTCAGAGAACAACTTCATCCATGACCAGCTCTGTATTTTTGTTCTCCGAGTATATATACAGATAACCCCAAACCAGAGATTAAAACCCCCTCTTTATTAAAATATAATCTTGGAATGTCTTAAAGTGCAGTATTTATCTGCCAAGAGTAAATGTTAAATATTTTCCTATGCTGACAGTCACCACAATTTGCTGTGCAGAATCTCTTTGCGCTTGCCTGTGTTAGTATGTAGACTTCATAATAAATTATCTAGAGCCACTAGGAATGGTACTGTGGACTCTTCCACTGCAAGAAGAGGTTTATGAGTCTCAGAAAGTCCTTGTGCTGTTTCCATCACAACCTTAAACACTTTTTTCTTCTTTAGTGATATATAAAAAAATCCCAGCTGATGTGTCTAAAATAACATATTTTGCATCCACATTATAAAGCTAGCTTTAAAAACTCCAAATCCCTTAGTTCTGCCCCAAGTCCTTTTTTGTCCTTGTTTCATAGTGTAGAGGGACATCCCCTACCTCTTTTTCCCTAAAGGGCTTTTGAACATCTGGGCTGAAAGGCTTGACTTTAAAATCTGGTTCTGAAAGCCTTTTTATTTCTTTATTTCAGTTGTCTTTAATGTAGGTAGTGAGGTGCCAACATGAGTTGTCATGAAATTTCTATTTACATGGCTTTGGTTCTTTAAAGTTTATATCTTCTAAAAAATGAGCAAAAAATTTAACATCTTCATTCCAGAGCCTCCAGTTCAGCATTTTGATGCAGACATAGTTCAAAGCATTAATATTTTTAATTACCATAGCAGGCTGCATTGCCTGCGGTTTTCACTGGCATTTCTTAAGGGTTTTCCTTTATCTGTCTTGTGTTATAGACCAATACAGAGCATCTGCTGCCAATGCATTAGTTAGTGAGTGTCTTGGTATATATTTCCCCAGATTTTCAACAACCCTGCTCGGGAAGGAGCTGTAGGGACTGTGCCAGCACGATGCTGTCCTGCAGGCTCCGCTGGACCAGGCAAACAGGAGCTGCGCTGCTGCACAGTGAAAAGTTGCATAGTGCTAACCAGATGGCAGATGCTAGCTAATATTTTTAAAGATGTCCAACTATACATGTGGTAGGTGCTAAAGAGTGTTTAAAAGACCTTAATTAAATGGATTGTCCAATAAATTTTATTTTTAAAAAACCTTTTCCCATTGTTAGAAGGATTCCTAATACTTTTCTATTTATAGGGCTGCTGTCTAATGATTTAAGCCCAAGGTATTGAGCCATGTGCAAGCAGGATTAACAGTGCATTGTGTCTATGCACACTGCTTAATATTAGTGCTTGTGCACATAACGTGGGGTTCTTTTGTTAGAGAGATTTCATTTGTAAAGAGACAAAAATTGCAATAACATGGAGGGACATAAAGCCAGAAAAAAAATCAGACAAAAAGGAAACAAATTGTCCATATTAGGCCAACTCGTAACACAGATTTTTTGGAAACGCCTGCCATGGAAAGGAGAGTATTTCTTTTTATCACTAAACATACAGCATTTAAACTTTTTTTCCTATATGCCCTGAGCTAACCATAAAAGAAATATGTTCATAGATGTCTTTTAAATGGTTGGTGTAACCGAAGGTGGTCAGTTGGGACTGAAAGAGAATTGCTTTGCAGCAAGGTGACTTCACTGAAACATTCACGGTTTTGTATTTGCTTACACAGTATTGATAACCTTAAAGTATTTCTTTTAAAAAGGAACAAACTGAGTAATGATATTTGTAAATAGAAGATGGTTATGCTTCATCTAAAATTCCTTACTAATTTACAAAATTACTTTCTGGTTCTGGATAATACTCATTATCTTGCATGCACTTTGATATTTATTTTGTTGTCATTTTGGAAGGCATAAGGCACCGTCAAGGGGTCACGTAGAGCTAATAACCCATGAAGCTTTGGTTCATATCAGTGCAAAGGTGATGTTGAGATATAAGTTCTGTGAATAAATGGGCTGAAAGTGTGTTTTCTCCTCTAGATTGAAACACAAACTGTCAACTTTAAGTGACTTAATAAGAATGTGTTCTTTCCAAAGTGGCAAATTAAATGCTGCTCATTAAGTAGTTTCTGAAATGCAAAATGAAGTGGAGCCGCAAGGATTTAGCTGACAAGGCTTTTCTAAATGTGTGTTGGTGTGCAAACACCAGCACCTCACCTTGTGTCTGCCTCTGCCTTTGCAGAGAAGGTATCCCTTAATTTGCAAGAATACAGCTTTTTTTTTTTTTTTCCCCAGATTTGCATAATTAAGGTATTAACATGTTTCACTCTTTACTCAGCTGTGGGAAAACAATTTTTAAATCCAAAGTAAAAGTAGTATTTGGCAAGGAATGGAAGGAACCAGTGGGTTGGGTTTTTTTCCCCACAAAACCCCTTTGTTACATGGGAGCTGTCCTTGGCTCAGGGGAGGCTCCAGCAGTAGATCAGTTTTGGGGTAGAACATGTGAAGCTTGTGCTATGTCTTTGGGTGTTTTGCTTGCTTGCAGCCAGCTCAGAACACAGGTTTGGGGAGTTGCCTGCATATGGCATTTTCTACAGCACACAGGTTTGGGGGAGGTTGGTCGCTGTTATTGATACGTTCAGCCCATGTTCTGGTGCTGTTTGTTGGGCTTGGGCAAGCCTGAGTCAGGAAGGTCAAACCAAGCTTTGTAGTTTGAAATGCAATTACTTTTTTTTTTTTTTTTTTTTAAATCTGTTGTCAGTGCCTGGTATTGTAAAATAATCTGCCTGAATTGCCTGTAAAACCTTTTATTCCACTGAGACTGACTGGTGGCTTTTCACTGAAGTTACACAGCCATGCTTGTGCTGTGTATATTTGGATTTCTTTTTCTTTTTCCATGTTAATTTGGATGTTTGCTCGTTTGTGTGCTTGTTTAATACAAATCTACTGCTTGATTTAAAAATACATCAGAATTGTAAACTGTTTCCTGTGGCTTGCTCCCTTGTGAATGATCAGTTTTGAATGTTTTTTGGGTGTGCTGAATGATCTTCCCTAATTATTCTGGTTTTGGGAATGGATTTAACATAGAAAAAAAATCTTAAATGGAAGACATTTGACTGGTTTAGCTGTGTGCTTTGAGAATTAGCTAGTGTTCAGGTACAAAAGGGTGTGAAATGTGGAAGTTGTCCTGAGATTGTGTGAATAACTGATCTGTGAAGATGACATGTTTCTAAAAGAGGATGGAGGCTTGGAAAAGAATTTTTTTCCTACATTTTCTGATGCCATACATTACCTTTCTGGCTAGAAGAAATGGTAGAATATTCTGGAAGGAAATTAGAATGTGGAAAAGAAGCTTGACGTCTACAGACAGTGGTTTTAGGTGCTCATGAGGACTGACTGGATTTCTCCACCTTGAACGCTGAGGGATCACAATGGTCCATTATGTGCTTTGGGTAGATTGATTTGGTTTTCTGATTTTTTTAATTTTTTTTTTTCTGGGATTTATAATTCTGTAGAATATAGTGTTTTATGGTGGGGAACAACTCCTGAGAAAGAGGTTTTCAGCCTTACCTGTAGTGGGACGAGCTTCCCACGTACTTTGGAAAGCAATCACACGTGCAGCTTCTCAGTGAGCCAAAAGAAAATATATGGGGGAGTTGCAAATTTTAAAAAAAAAATCTGTCCTCCTAGTGTTGTGAAACTGAAAATCATATTGTACAGGTCAGTTGTTATTTTCTCCTGTTAAGATCAGTGGGAGAAATTCCCTTTCCTATTAGCTGCAGGCAGGCTGAGCACCATAGTCACTGTGTATGCTGCCCTTCCCAAGGTTTCTGACAAGTAGATGCTTGTTTAAAATAAATAAAAATGTTTACTTTGTTTGCTCAAAATAAGATGCAAATGAATAAATGCTTCTCCCTCCCATCTGTCTACACCTTTGTAATTCAGAGAGCAACTAGCTTAATATTTTTTTTTATTGTTAGTCTGTGGATGTGGTTTTCTGTTTATGAGGAATATTTTGAGCTGTTTGCTGACTATGAATTTTAAGTGCAGAAAAGCAACCCATAAAAAAAAACCAAACTGAACTCTGGAACTTTTTCATGGGGTCCTTCAAGCAGGTGAAGTAGGATGCTAATAGCTAGTTTATGATAAACGCTGCTAAAGCCAGGCAGTCGGAGGAAGAGGCAATAAATCACACAAGCAGGTGAGATGCTGCTGGTAGCGCCGCTGACAGCAATCACAGAAAACTGTTTTCTCCTCAAATCTTCCCTTCAGTTTAAAGTAAAACCAGACCTTGTTTGTCTGTCCTTAACATAAGCATCAGCGTAATTTTGCTTCAGATAAGTCTCGATGGGAAAGGAAGCAAAAACATTTTGTTCAGTAAATGATGCTTAAACCTGGTTTCCTGTAAGCATAAGTAGCAGCTATCTTGCATGTAGTGAATGCCATTAGCATGTTGTCTACTGTTAGTGATTTGCCTCTTATTAAATTCCTGATGCTCTACAGATGGTAAAGGCAGAACTACTGAGAAGAGTTTTATTTGATCAATAGAGCTGAACTTTTTTTCCCCTGGAATCTGTATTTTTTAGTGATCTATATGGTTATTTTTGTCTCTCTTCTTGTGGTTTCCAAGCCAGATACGGGTTAAATTTTCATCTAAATTATTAGCTGAGCTCATCCCCACTCTGCAGTCACATACAATGGTGAGTTCTCTCTCAAAAAAACCAAAACCTGAGGTGGATGAGAGACATCAGCTGCAGACAGTGGGTCTGACCTGGAGAGGCTATGTCCTAACTCTTGCTGGGGTGTCTACTTAGGCTTCTTAGCCGTGCCCGGTCAAAGCAACAGCTCAGTTGCTTCAAAACTTTCTTGCTCTTCACAAGTCTAACTGTTCAGCTTGATGTTATGTTTTGCCTGCCTATTTTACTGTCGGTTAACAAGTTTTCTTTCCTTTATCTTGTATATGATGGGATCTCCGCTAGACAGAGGTAACGGTGGGGGACAGTTGTGTAGCTGGACCCTCGTGTGGTGGTGTTTGTTGGTGGTTTTTCCTAAAACCGTTCCTAAATTCAGCCTTGCTTTCACCATGCTTCTGTGCTTGCATGACTTGGTTTCTGTGGAATAACCTCATCCACGCCTACTTTTCTTTTGTATGAATTTCATTTTCCTCTGTGTGTGTGTGTGTGTGTGTGTTCTGCTGTGTTCTTAAAACAGATCACCAGTGTGGATTTCAGTGTGCACCTCCTAACAGTTTTTATGGATCCTTTTCAGTCTTTGAAGCTTCAGTAGATCAAAGGCACTTGGATTTTTAGTTCAGTAAGAGCGATTATCTGACAAAACACATTATTTTTTTTTTGTATTTGCGGTATTTTCTGTTAAAACAAGGTGTAAAACAAACAAAAAAAAGGAGTAAGAGAGAGATTGGGATTGGTATCAGTCCTGGGTCTCTTAGTGAGGTTGTTAAACACACTCCTGAATTGTATGCTGCTTATAACTACATGTTTTTTGGTAACGTAGATCATACTTTATATCCATGTGAAATGGTTCTTGGCTACTGCTACAACAGAGTATAACTAAAACACTATTAGTGAAATATAATAATTTTCTTTTTGAATCCTGTATTAAAAAACCTGACTTTTGTAATACTAATCTTTCAAAGAATCAGTCAATTTTAAGCAAAATGGACATAGCCTAGCTAAAATACAGAGAAATAAAACTAAAACAAACCATATTGTGTGATTCCTTATCCCCTATTTGAGATGGGGAAGCACTGATCTTTGCAAAGCATTTCTGACAGATTTGAAGGCTGGAAAAGGTCTGCTGAATATGAATGAGATAGTAGGGGTGTGTGTACGTGGAGTGGCTTGTTGGTGGTAAGGATACACATAAAGCCTTCCATTTCTCTATTTAATCTATTGCTTTATATTCTCTTTTTGGGATGTGGGCTGGATGAATAAATAGAAATTATCCCAGGAGCGAGAGAAATTTGCCGATGAGGACAGCATATTTTATGCCCTTGGAGAATGTGGACTCATTTCTTTTTCCGACTACATCTTCCTCACTACAGTCCTTTCCAGTAAGTACAGTGGGTTTTTTTTTCTCTGCAGTTACTGCTTTTTAAGTTTTGAAGGTTAACAAGTTTGCTATTGTTGTCTACATAGATTTCCCTAAAAGGAATTCTTGATTGCTTGAAACTTGAGCTGAGTGAATAATTGCTATTGCTTTGTCTGGTTTAGTCTTAGCTTCAAGTGGTTCAGAAAGATAAGCAGATCGATGATTTCTTTCTCATTTTAAAATGTGGCAAATTTTTTTAAAATGAGTCATTTAACCTGCTGTTCAAAACTGTAAACGGAGATGTGTTCTTGAGTTGTGTTCATATGATATTTGTGTGGTTGGATGAATACTGCTTTCCAGATCTTCACTGGTTAGAAGACTCTTCAAACTTTTCTCCAGCTGTATTTTCCCTTGGGTAAGATCAGGCTTGTGCATGATGTAATCCAATGAGGAGAGAAGTTAAGCTGTTTACATTTCAACAAGTATCATTAGATACCTTCTGTCTTTTCACCCTGCTGTGCTTGACTTATATTTGTGATATTTTTGTGATCTGCTAATCTGTTCCAGTGAAGTCTTCTGTACTTGAAGTGCTGGCACTTGAAAATTGACATTGTTGGCAAGAAGCAGTGAAACTGAAGCCTTTGGTAATGTCAAACAGCACTTCTAGCCTTTCTTCATGGGGAAAGCAAGCTCAAAACCTTCTTTGCAGAGCTTCTTTAGCCCCTTGGAAGGTGCCGTATCACAAAAGAGAAGTCAACAGAGATTCCAGTTATTTTTCAGCCCCATTAGAAAATGTGGAATAATGGGGAATATACCACTGTCCAAATGAACTGAGACATTTTATTTTCAGACATTAAAAAAAAAAAAAAAAAAAAAAAAAAAAAAAGGCATAACGTGGCCATCTAATCCTGTAGGTACCTCCTCCATCATGACCCATTATAGGAATTAAAAGGCTGAACATTCCTGGTTTACTGTAGTCCCCCACTGCTACCTGCTTTGTGCTTCAGGGAGCCAGCTGGGTAATTCACTGATGTTCTGTAAAAGCATTACAGGTGCTTTATTTTTTTTCCCCATGTTCTCGCATGCTATAATACAGATAAATAAGCGAGGCAGCTTTTCTGTTACTGCACATGCATTTTGGAGGATCAATTACAGGGGGAAGCAAGGTTCAAGGTCTTGTTTGTTGTCAAATGGACGTGGTGGGGGAAGATCTGTTTGTGACCTTCAATGTTGTGGAAACAAACTCTGAGAGATAAAGCTAGTTCAATCCAGGGAATTTGTTTTATGATTTTAATACCCTTTTTTGTTTGACTGAGTCTCAGAATTGACTCTTAAGACTTTTGCTGTTCCTTTCTTTCATGAGTCTAGCCTGTGCTGAAATTACCTAAGGTATTTTCACTTGTGTATGGAGGGCTTTTAATTGGAGTCTCCACAGATGACAGTGAACTCGCAAACCTATAGTATCACATTACTGAATGTGGTTTAGAAGACGCTCATGCCATTAGCTTTATGGCTGTGCTGGTGGTGAACAACCCCCTAATCAAGTACACAGGGCACAGAATTAATTTCATGTACTTACATGGGCAACAAGAAGAGAAATTGTTCTTGCTTTGGTTTGATTCCTTTGTTGTGAAAATAAAAGGGACCACCTTGTGTTAGAGTAGCAGCCAGCCTTAATTTGGAGGGTTAGTGAGGGAACAATGAGGTTTTTTCTTGTTCTCAGGCTAGTAAACTGTGTTTGCAGTTACTGGGGAATCAGACTAACAAGAGGAGACAGAGTTTGGTGTTTTGTGCTTTGAGGAATGTTTTGAGGGGTGGGCAAGGTGGGAGCTTTCAAAAAAGAGGGGGGAGGGAAGAAAAGAGAAAGGGGGGTGAAAAAGTGTTTTGGGACTTTTAGGCTGACTTGTAGGTATTTTGGGAGTTTGCTGAGTGGACATTGAAGATGAAGAAATGTCTCTGGAGCTACCTTCAAACAGTGATTCCCCAGAGGAAGAGTTTTGTTTTTATTTTTAAAGCATTTGCTTTTATAAAAATAAAATTCCCAAACAAAGCTTGCCTTGTGGCTACATAGAAAATTGACTGCTATGCCACTCTGTTTTACTCTCCTACTAGTGAATATTACCTTGCAGGAATCCAGTAGTTCCTGATTATTTTCTTTTCCTGGGAAATAAATAAAGTAGAATGAGGAAAGTACATCTTCAGCTTCACAGTTCAATATTGGTTTTCTCACTGTGTTGTTTAAATAACCCAAACATTAAGCATGTATGTGGACAAAAGGACTGTAGATTGCCAGATAGCTAAAAGCCACTAAATATTGAGAAGGGAAGGTGGTGTGTTGAACATTAAAGCAGGACAATCAGAAAGGGAGTGTGGGAATGGGGCTGGGGCTGGGATGCAGGAGGGAGAGGTGCTACTCTGCTGTTGTCAGAAGTGATGTGGAGGGATCAGTCATAGTCTGGTCTGGTTTATTGAACTCAAAACTGATCAATGATAACCTCTAAAACCAAGAAACCTGAAAGGGCATTGTATTATCATGCTCTTCAGGAGAGTTACACACAACAAGTCTGCTAAGACTGCTCCTGCCAATCTCCCTGGCTCTACCAAAAGCATGGCCAGGCTTTGAGAGTGCTTCCCAAAGCTTTTCATTTAATTTGTCTTTGCAGCTTCAGCTGAAGCTCACTTCAGTTGTATCTTCTGAAACATGGACCGTGTGGCAGCTGCCAGGGAAGGAGAGGAGGAGAGAGGGCTGGAGGCTTCATCTGTATGTTGCTCACAGACTGCTGTTTGCATATGGCACAGAAAGTGAAGTCTGTCACCATATTTTATTTACAAGTGGTTTTTCTCTCTAGCACTGTCTGTTCTTGTCGGTTGCTGTATTTCTGTGAAAAAGTATTTTCAAAGAGACTAATAAAATAGCATTTAACTGATTCAGAAAGTCAGCCTTCTATTAAAGGCCATGAGGGCTGAGTGGCCTTGAGGATACCCCACAGTTTTGGTTGCTTCAGCCGCTCCCTGTGTTTTGGGGCAGAGGTAGAAAGATGAGAAAAATATTAAATAAGTAAAATGCCGATGGAATTTCCCCTGGGTCCTTCAGATGTCATAGTAAAGCAAAGAGATCACTTCCCTGACCAAAGAGTTTTTTGCCTTTGGACTTGCATAGCAGATGGAGGAAGGAGAGAAAGAGCTTTTCCATCATCAGCAACTGCAATTTCTGAGCGAACGTGGCGCGTTGTCCGGGCACACTAATGCCTACTTGATTAACAGGTACTGAAGGAAGCTGGGCATTGGAAGAATAAGTCAGTGTGGTTTCTGTAATTGGACTGTTGCTGTGTCTGGATTTACTCTTCCTGGAAGGAGAGTTAAATAGCATAAGCACAAGCCAAAGTAATTACTTTCTTGCCAGGGCTCTTGTAGCAGACCTGCTGCAGCTCCCTTCTCCTGTGGGTTCTTTCTAGAGCGCAGCGTGCTGCCATCCTTTATGGGTACTAGCCTGCAGGAAACCTCCTACTTGGAATAGATTAGCTTTTTTTTTTTTCTTTTTTTCCTTTGTTTCCCCTGTGTAAAATATAAATCCCAGGCCATCTAGCTCTGGAAATTTTTTTTTTTTTTGGCTGGGTATTGAGCGCTGTGTAGGTCCCTGTGATGGAGATGGTGTGGAATTCTCTCCCGCAGTGCTTCACACAGGCAGTGTGATTTCCAGGGTCTGCAGTGTGGCTGTTTTGAATATGTATTGCTGGCTGACACGAATGTCTCCAGCTTCCTTCCCTGCCACGACTGAGATCTGTTGTCTTACCAGTGGTGTTTTAATCCTGCAAAGCAGTATGAAGTGCCATAGGGCTTATTCCTACAAGAAAATGAAAGGCTGCTTTCACTTTATAGGAATATTTTGGTCCTGTTCATGTTAATTTTACTTTACTCTAAACTTCCAAGACCCTCCATTTACCTACATACATATCCCTGGGTCCATCTCATCCACACTATATGGTGCAAAGATGTCTTCAACCTTTCAGCCAGCTCAGCTGCTGCTGTGGGGGATTTCTAAGATGTATCTGATCAGCACAGAGATCCTCTTTCAAGGGATGTCCCAACTTCCAAACGTAAGCCTGGTTGCTTCATGTCAGACTGAAGGCTCTCTGGCTCAGCATACCACTTCTGCCATGGGCTAGTAGCTGTGCTGAAGGACAGAAATGGGCCAGATTTCTTGCAATTAGCAGTTTGGGATCTTCCCAAGCTTAACCCTCCCCAGTTTGAAAACCAACATTAAGCCATGGCATGTTCTACCAGCCTCACTGCCTGCAGTCTTCACTTGGCTTTTCTCTGTTCATTCCGTCACCCCTTGCACTGGCATGGTGTGATGGGCTGATGGATCTCCACCAACCTCCTGTACCACAGAGGACAGTGAATTTGCAGTGGGGAAGGACTACTCTGCATGCAGCACTTGTTAGCCTGAATGAGAAGTTCCAGAAACTTACTCATGATGAATTCTACAGAATCAGGAAATAGAGTAATTTTGTGTGTCTCACAGCAGTATCCCAGAACCTGCAGATGTATTGCCAGGGGTTCCCTGGAGAGGGCAGCTTCTAATGGTCTTTGTCTGGAGCTGCCATTTGCACAGCTTGTTTCTAGGCCCTTATTTCAGAGAGGCATTTCAGAGGGAATCTTCATTTCCAGCAGTGCTCTGAGTCATGTGGTAACCAATGAGAAGCTGTTGAAAAGTCTTGTACTCCAGCCAAGGGGCTGTCACATTCTCTCAAATCTCTGAAACTGAGGCGGACGTTTGTCATTGGTGTTAAAACCAAACTACAAAATTTGATGTCAAAATTACAGAGTCTCTTTGGTTCACAAGCTAAGAAACAAAATAGATAAGTGAAACAGCAATATTTTTTTTTAATTGATGAAGTAGAAGAAACATTAAAAATGGGGTCATCTGAGACTTCACTCCAGTGTACTCATACTTAGCATGAATTTCTGTATCTGGAGGTAGCACATGTAGTACAGCTCACCAAAGGGTCGATAGAGCAT